TGTTATTTTGTGATAAGGTCTCACTAAGTCATGCAATTGTCTAGGCTGGCCTTGAACTCTCAGTCCTCCTGCCTCAGCCTCCCAAATAGCTATGGTCACAGGCATGCCACCACACATGACTAAAATCATCTTTGACTGTCTGTCTTGTGGGTGTGCTTACATCTGTAGATGGCCAAGAAATTGCAGGGAGCAAAACAGAGTTCCAAATAAAGCTGGAAGAAGCAGGAATGCCTTATTTGAAATGAAATATATAAACAAGAGGGCATTAGTAGGCTTCACCTTGTGTGTGTGTGTGTGGGGGGGGGTCCTTCATGTTAGCCCTAAATATTTTAAATGCCCATTAGTTCTTTTAACACTTATAATTTTATTAGGTAGGTATGAACACATTATCTGATTTTATAAATGAGAAAATAATGTTAAGGGACTATGTAAGTTGCCCAAGTCTCACATCTGGTAGAGGTAAGATTGAACCGCATACTTAGTTGTTTTAATAGATGTGAGAGCCATATATGTAGAAATGTTAAGAATCCGACCTAGAGAACAGTGTCTGAAATGGAAGAGAGCTTGGCAACCACCTTTTATGAGAATTAGTTGAGGAGCCTTTACACATTTTGCCTACAGGGGACAAAACAAAGTGAAAGCTGATACCTTCAAATATGGCAGAGCCATCAAAAGGAAGAAAAATTCCATTTATTCTTACTCTAGCTCTAAAAAGCATAAATGGAAACAAAAATAATAGGCAAAAAGGCAGATTTTTTTAATTTTTTCCCATAATGTTATTGAGAAACAAATAGAAATGAGACAGTTTCAAACCAAATTGGTAGGACAGTTTCAATAATTAGCACATTGCATACATTCTTCCTAGTGATTATTTGCTGTACAAGATGTGAACATGATATCCCATTTACAAACACTATTAGAACAAATCCCTCTATTCATTAAAAGAATGTAACTATATATCTATCCTAACCATTTTGAATACACAGATACAAAATGGACATTCATCTGTATCCCCTTTTTTGTT